CTGGGTGTAGTAGGCCACTGGAGCGAAGACATTGCTTTAGAAATCGTTGGCGGAATACCATCCAACTTCTACGCGAAATCTCTCTCGTACACCGAGAAAGACATCATACCCGACGAGGCCATTGACAAGTTGTTCAAGTACATCGACGAAACAGACAAAGGCGGTGCACTCTGGTTCATCATCTGGGACCTTGAGGGCGGCGCTATCAACGACGTCGCGCCTGATGCTACAGCCTACGGTCATCGTGACGCGCTGTTCTACCATCAGGCTTATGCTGTTAATCTCTTTGGCAAGGTCAGTCCCCATCTCATCTCAAATAGTCTAACAAGCGTACTAATAACATGCCAGGTGAATGACAAAACCCGCAATTTCCTCAACGGCTTGAACAACGTCGTTCTCGATGCGCTGCCCAACCACAATCAAGGAGCGTATGCGGGATACGTCGATCCTGCGCTGGGCGAGAACAGCGCGAGTCTGTATTGGGGTGGTAATGTTGAGAGGTTGGAGCGGATTAAGGCGGAGGTTGATCCGTTGGATGTGTTTCACAATCCGCAGAGTGTACGGCCGGCAAAGAAGTAGGTGGAGAAGAGGGTGCTGTTTTAGATAGAAGGGTGTGGCTTGGTGATGTGGATTTGCCTGGCCTGGAGGCTTAGGCTTGGAACGAATTCTTATTCTCATAACAATTCTTTCCAAATTTTGTGCGACGATGTCGCGATTAGTATGGTAATCGTGTGTGATGACTTGGAAAATGCCTGATTTGACAGCTTTATTCGGTTGAACTTGTCTGCGCTAACGCTTAATATTGTACAGATACATGACTGTAGAACTGGGCCATACCACATGTGTCACCTAATGTAGCGCAGTCGTGACCGGTTGTCTTATGCGCAACGAAGGACATTAAGTGACCTCTAATACATATTATGGGCTACGTTGTTGATCTGTTCTTCTCTCGTCGCCTCAACTCCAAAACATCTTCTATGATATATCTACTGCATTCGCTAGCCAATTACCTTCGACTTAAGGAATCGGCTGCCGCTCTCGTTACAAAAGTGGTGACTACTCAACAGCCAACAATGCCTAAAGGACACACCCGCTTCACGATGCGTGTTGGCGACGGGGTACCTAAGAAGCCTGTCGTACCCCATCGATGTTACCGCCGTGAACGACTCGATCGAGAAAAGGAATTGAAGAGTAGGATCCGCTGTAACAGTCATTCTGAAGCATTGCGCGCTGTGGCGGAAGTTCGGGCATTGAGCGTGTCTGTAGCCATCGTCGTTACAGCTGCGTTCTTCTGGATTTTTCGGGATAGGTAGATTACCGGAGCAGACGTTGAGTTGTGTTGAGCTGGGTCCTGACAATCCTTTCGCTGTCGTGATTGCTGGCTGTGCGTGGATGACGGAGGCTGGCTCCTACATGGCTCCAGCGAGGATCTTCCGAGAATCCAGTTACGTTGATCAACAAAATGCGCGTCTCTACTTCTTCTGAAAAGAGTTATTCGCACAACAGTTTGGATAGTCCTGATTTGGTGAACGGTGGGGTCGGTGCATCGGGACGCTGGAAGTGGCCACCTCTACGTCGATTACGCGACTGCCTACAATGTTACGATCCACGTATTTTAGTTGTCGGGGCTTCGTTTGCGATCGATGCTATCTGCTGCAACTACAAGGGTTGTTGATGGAACTCCTATGCTGCCCAGGGAATGTGTGACTTGACGAGGTGGCAAGGCTTGTCTGTGCGGTCATGCACTAAAGATTTTCGTCCCCAGCGCCGATGGACCCTTGCTTAATTTCCACTACTCCTTCCATCGATATCATCAGAATCAAGTGCCGAGCTCACCTACATTGAGCGTATCTCTCCCCAAACTCCCAATTCCAGGCAATTGGTCATGGGCCGTTCGTTTATATGTTGACGTCGCGCTGGTACGCACCGTGTGGCGCGTGTCCTGTAGTCCAATCAGGGTGTCGCGTACCAAACAGAGCACTTTGCTGACATACTCCAGTCGTTCCGTAGAATAGGCTGCGTGCTTCTGTCATGATGCCGCGGAAACCTTTCCTGGGATTGAGGCGTTTTCGTCATCATCTAACTCTAAAGCTGTTCGGCCGCCCCGACACATTCACAAACCATCTGAGGGGTTTCTTAGGCTACGATCGTCGGCCAGAAAACATGCAGAAAATTGGAAGGTTATTATCGGGGGGACGCAGCCCGCTACCTGAACATTTTGGTCGAAAAGCTCGTATACCCGACCTTTTTGATCGGAGAGATCAAGTTTACCTGGCGCTTGAGGCCCAGCGGTTGCATTGGTATATGCCCCCACCGTACGCCTATCATGATCTGCTTGACGCTGCAGCGAGAGTGGGCCGTATTGAAGGGATCATGGGCTACAAGTTCAAAGACAAGATGATTTGCATCGAAGCGCTCAAGACCACTTCGGCGACTACACCGCTTTATTTCAATGGAGTCATTCATCACATAGACAAAAACAACCGCCTGGCATTGCTAGGTGATCGAGTTATCTCTTTAGCTCTATGCGATGTTTGGTTCAAGACAGGAAATACCAATGGTATGTACTGCATATAGCTCTGGTGCTTAAGCTAATACAGCGAATAGCGGAATACACTTCGATGCAGCCGGATATAGAAAGCAGAGTTGGTTTGGGTAAGAAAGGATACGCGCTCGGTATAAACGACAATCTGCTTCTTCACGAGCGGCACCCCTCCACATTTAATCATGTTGCCGAGGCCTTCGAAGCTGTTCTTGGTGCTATCTACTTGGACTCTGGGAACAACATCGAAACCGTCAAGGAAGTTATCACCGGAATCAAGCTCGATAGTCACAAGGGATTAGAAGAGCAGACTACGGCCCAGGATCGTCTGGACAATAAAAGGCTTGCGGCGCTGCAGTACTCTGATTATATGAGGAACCAAGCTGCGTACACTAAAAAAGCCCAGCTGGAGCATGATGCAGCACTGGCAGCGAAAGAAGCAGCAAAACTGGCGGAAAAACAGGTGGCAGATCAGCCTAGAGAGGAGGCGCAAGAAGACAATATGTCCACCAAAAGTCAAAAACACGATGGACACTCGGGAACAGTTCAGCCTCAAACTAAGAAGAAGAGCAGCGTTGCGCTCACACATGCGGAGGCCTCGAAAAATCTAGCCGATTCGGTGAACGAATATCGCACGAATGGTCCCCCGAGTGACGCAAAGGATCTGGGCCGACTTGATAGACAAGACGCGCAACGCCAAAGTCCAGCCTCGAAGGGAAGAGCACCATCGCAGAATTCCAATCAGGGATCAGATTCAAAACTGCAACGACGCGCGGTCGTAGCTGCCAACAAGCTATCGAAAGAAGGCTACCTATCAAATGATGTCTTGGAACACGATGACAAGAAAACAGTCTCTAAACGCCAAGATTTGCCAGTATCTCACGTCGAGAACCAGGACAAGGTAGTCACCCTAGGCACCAAACTATCGCCGGAGGAAGAAGCAGATGAGTTTGTCGCATCGATGAAGTTTCCAGCAGAAATAGAATCAACTGAGGGCTTGAAAAGCAGTGAGAAACGCATCCTGAGAATATCATGGGACATGGCGGTACGAAAATGCGCCGACAGCATCAGAATTAGCGAGGAGAGAGACTTTGAGGGAACGTTTGCGCATAGGTTGAAGCGAATGGTACGGTACCAGGTAAATGCTGGTTTAGTAAAAAACGAAACGAAAGAAACGATTAGGCTTCTCCGCCTGTCAGCAAGGCTTCGAGGCCACAGCTGGGGAGAAAAACAGGAGAAGACATTTCGCAAGACCAATTCAAAGGTTCCAATCAAACCTAGTCGAGAGACAACACAGGCACCGGTGAGTGTTTCACCAGAGCCGAAAGCTGCGACGGCAACGAAAGCAAATCCTACACCACAAGAGACAGATCCTGCACTGGAGATAGTAGGCACTGTACAAGAGAAAGCAGAGCCTCTACTAGAGACTGGTATGAACAACGATAAGCCATCTCAAAGACGCTCAAACTCGCCGAAGGAATCCCATCTTGCAGACGCAGCCACCACAGAGATGGAAGATGAAAAGAACATACAAGTGCGCACCAAGGATGTTGAATCACTAGAAAGAGATATTCTCAACTCGCATAACACCGTTTCGCAAACGGCCGATACCGCAGATGCGTCAACATCAGAGCAGCACAGCGGACGCACAACTCGTGCACGCCGTTCTGCTGCGGATGGCCAGGCGGAGAAGCCATCTGATCTAAACGAATTCTTCGAATCGGACACGGATAGGTTCATGTCGAGCATCACGCAAAACGATTCAGAAGCGTCCGGCGCCCCTCAAATGACACCTCATGAGGAATCCGAGATGCAGTCTTCTGACTCTTCTAAGGAGCAAGGAGAATCTTCCGCCCCATCTGCAAGGATAACAAAACAAAAACGTCCCAACCGAGCCAAGCGTCGTCGATCACAGCATTCATGATTGCTTTTGCTCCTGGCTACAGGTACGCCAGCTGCTTGTCTATTACCGTATATGCGTCGATGCATGTGTACAATATAGTCCGAATGTATGATAACTCAGCGAGAGATGCCTTTACAGCTGTATATCTATGTCTAGAAGAGTACGTGTAACATATTTGTCGCAATATCGAGATATAGAATGCGAATCTGCATTTACCCGCTTCCACAGCCATTTACGTCTGCTTTTGAGGTCTTGCAGCCTGGCAAAGGCATCTATCTTGACCAACTTCACAGGAAGTTAACGGTTAGTGAGCTATTAAACATGTCGCCAAGCGTCAATACGAGTTGTTGTCGTCGGTTAAGTTGGTATCGCGTCTGTGCATTAGGCGGCAACGTCGAATGTACTAACCTCTTGCCTCCCAGCGGCACAGCGAGACGTCTACTAAAGTGCCATGTTCCTCGCTTCAACCCTTAACGCAAGAGGTTTGTACAACTCGACCTCAATATGGCATCCCACAAGCGCCCACGACTTCCACCCGCCCAATTAGCCGCCATAATGAACGACTACTACACCTTCTTGACCACTCTCTACATACCTTCTTCAGCATTGAAGCACCCGCCTCCAGGAGGATGGCCGAACATTACTGCGGATGCGACAAAGAGTCTGGATAAATCGCCTGTTGTCATTGAGGTCATGAAGCATTTGCCGTACATCGATGAGGCCGAGTCTGGCGAGATGATCACGAACATTCACTATAAGAGCGACGTGGTGGATTACTCCACATACAAGGAAGAGGACTTTAAGAGATATGATGTATCGTATGGAGAAGACGGACTCAAAGTTTGCATTGAGGAGATGGAGGAGCGGAGAAGAGAAGAAGAAGAAGCAGAAGAGGAGGAGGAGGAGGAGGAAGATGAGAACAACAACACCATTGAAGACGAAGAGAACAACACCAACGAGGATCCAGAGGACAGCGAAGACGAAGACACCAACAGCGACAACGAGGATGCACCTCATGACGAAGGTTACAGTTCCGACGAAGAAGAAGACTACGGCGACGACCCCGACTCCGTCGACATAAAAGACATCCTCCTCCTATCCATGGGCTACGAATCCGGCGGCCGAATCCTCCTCCTCGACGTCCACAAAGGCACCATCCACGAAGACATAGTTCGCTGCAACCTCGTCTCAGGCGTATGGATAGAAGACTTCTTCGACGATATGAAGGACAAGCTCCGGAGGCTGGATTGCGTGCCCGTAAGAGGCGAGTTCTACGAGGGCGTGCCTGAGGTGGAGGATGAGGGGCCGGTGCCTGAAACGGCGGATCCGTCGATGGAGGAGCATGACGAGGAGCATGTGAAGGTATATAAGAGGATTTATCGCAGGTTTGGGTGGCCCGGGGAGGGGTATAGGAAGGATGAGGCGTTGGAGGCGGTGGAGAAGTATCGGGTGAGTGCTTGGGGTTATTGATGCGGGGGTTGTGATGAGGCATGGAGTTGATAGAATGAATCGAAGAAAGATATGATAAACGAGTTATCCTAACGTCGCATAACTGTAGCCGTTGCACTAATTACAGTAGCAACGGCGGTGATAATATAACGCCACGCATTCGTCCTCGCCCACGTCTCAGCAATAGTCTTCATGTCCACCTTCTCAGCCCACTTCTTCGCCGCCTCACTCGCGGTGTCTTTATCCGTACCCTGCCCAAAACCCTTCAGCACAACGCTCTCATCACGTAATATCCCTTGAGCCTTCCATTTTCCTGCGCCGTTCACCCCAGGCTCCATGTACAGGGCTGTGTACGGGATGATACTAGCATTTACAAGTCCTGCAACAGCGTACAAGAGCCTTGCAGAAGACGATTGATCATTGCAAAGGTAGGCGAGAAGAGCGTTACTTGTAGCACCAGATATGATGAGAGGTGCGACGAAGATGGGCGCGAATTGGTACGCTTGAAGCCATTGCTTTGCTAGGAGTTTTGGTGGGGCATGCGTGATGAGGGGTGGCATGACGACATGACTGTATGCGAAAGTGAAGCCTGGCAGATTCAATTGTCAGCGGGTTGATTTGCATGGTTTTGAGATCAATGTACCTGTGTATATGGCTGGCGCAATAATTGCGATTGCTTGTAGAATGGGCACGACGGGGATGGAAGACTCGTTCATGGCGGTTGGTTACAATGAGATGGCGCTCGACGTGCGGTGCAGAGAATATGTCGTACGCAGGATACTGCAGGAGTTATCTGGAGTGATCTGTCAATAAAGCGTAGATGTAAGGCGTTTGGGGTAGAGAGCTGACGTGCTAGCGCGGTGTTTTGGATGCATCAGCATGCCCTAGCTGCATATTCTGGAACAACAGTAGAACGAACGAGATCTTCCAAGATCTATATGGGTTGGAGCAAGTATTTATAGCACTGACATGATCTGCACCTGGGCTTTTGTGCAACGACGATCATGTGGTTTTGCGCAGCCTTGTTGTGAAGTCAGATAAGCCTTACTTGTACAGGTATACTACAACTGATCCAGCAATCCCAAGACCTCTTGCCTGAGGTCATCCAAACCAACATCCTTCTTGAACCCCAATCTCCGGCATTGCACCTCTAATTCTCTCCTGTCTGTCCAACCTCTGCCTAGTACGACGACAACCGGGTATCCAATGAGTTCCGCATCCTTCAGTTTCCACCCTAAGCTCTTTGCTACTCGATCATCCAACACTAGGTCCACATCTCCATTCCGACCTTCACCGTGAATCGCGTCGTACACTTCTGCCGCGTCGCTCTCATCGACCTTTGGAGATGTGAGGATGATGGCTTCATAGGGTGCTATCGCCCTTGGCCAGTTCAGCCCTTGAGCGTCTGAGAGCAGTGATGCGACAGCTCCAATGATGCGCGAAACACCGATACCATGGCAGCCCATTTGTATTGGAGAAGAGAGATTTTGGTCAGGGAGTGCGACGACTGCGTTGAGGGGCTTGCTGTAGCGGGTGCCGAGGTGGAAGGTGTGGCCTACTTCGATGGCTTTCTGGACGTCGAGTTTTCCGTCCGAGCAGCGAGGACATGGATCGCCAGTTTCGACGGGTGTGAGATTTAGTTTGGAAGACAGAGGGTTTGATAGACATTTATCGTTCTTATCGAAGGCAAGGGAGGGGTCGAAGAGGTCGATGGTATCTGTTCTCTTTCGGAGCAGAGAAGCGAGTGATGAGGATTCGATGCCGGTGTCCAGCTCGATCTCCTCTGGAAGTGCTTTCTTGACAGCGTGAAGATTGACATGCTCATGTCTCTGTCTTACATCCGTCTCACTCTCCGATGGACGTGGTATCCACACGTTGATCTTTGTCTTTTTATCGACGCTTATACCTGCGTACGCCAGCCAGCTGTCGGTACATGACGCTACAGCTTGGCCGCTCTTTCCCACAAGCTCTTCGTTGGCGACATAGTCGCATGAGTTGCAAGACCATACATTGTCTTCGCCTTTGGGAGAAACAAAATGATACTCGTGGCTCAGTTTACCTCCCATGTTGCCAGAATCGGCATCGGCGACTAGGTATGGTAGTCTGAGCTCGTTGAACAAATTGTTGTACGCTTCCCGCACCTCTTCGTATGTCTTGAGCGCGGCGTCTGTTGAGTGATCGAATGTGTATAGATCTTTCATCATGAACTCCTTAGCTCGTAACAGCCCTTGTCTTGGTCTTCGTTCGTCGCGGTATTTGAGTCCGATCTGATACAGCCTCTGTGGCAGATCCTTGTATGAATGTACCATACTGGCTACCAGTGCTGTGATCTCCTCTTCATGAGTTGGTGATAATAGAAAGCCAGACTCTCTTCGATCTTTGATGCGCAGGAGTTCCGAGTTCGCGGAGTAGCGACCAGACTGCCGCCATAATGATTCTGTAGTAATGGAAGAGAGCGACAGTTTTGAAGCACCAATCGAGTTCATGTGCTTGTCGATTAGCGATTCAAGCTTATTTTGAACGCGTAAACCTAGGGGTAGGAGATGAAAGACTCCCGAATGTGCCTGAGCATGATGAGACAAGTACTAGAAGTCAAGAGGGTGTAGATGTATACCTGACGGAGAAAGCCACCTCTAACGAGAAGAGAGTGAGACTCATCTGAATATGTGTTAATCACGGTGTGATAGTTGTTCCCCTTATCCTTACCTTGCTCGCTGTCCTGGGGTGATATCCCACCGGTTGGTGCCCAGAACTTGGATAATCGATTTCTTGAGTCGGTCTAACTCGAACATCAGCCTTGTCACCAAAACCATGGAACTTGTCTGAGACGACTTACAGCTATAAATCTAGCATGTCGAAAGCCTTGTATTGGTGTTCGCTGTGCTCGCGATTGCCATGCAGCTCTACAAATGTACGCCGCCATGCGCGCACAACAATGACGATATTTGATCAAAAGCACGCAAGGAGCTTAGAATCGCACTGTCACTATTAGACGAAAAAGAAAGATTGGAAATGTTGGATGTTCCGTAAGTGGTGCACAACAGCGGGAGATCTGCCTCCAACATGACGAGCACAGACCACCTCGAATCTCAAAGCGCATGGAAATATTTGGAGATCGAACCCATCTCTCAATTGCTCCACGACCACATCTCACGTAAGCATGCCTGTTCCTATACTGGGACAGTATCTTCTGGGATCATACTAATCGACATTCAGAATGCCTCCACGGATACGCATCAGGCCACGCGCCCTCCGCGCCTGCACCTCGAACCCAACCCACCCCATCTCTCTACCCGCAATCGCAACCTACGCCACAGTAGCAGCGACCACCCCCGCACCCCCAATCCAGCAGACATACAAAGCCGCACCACCAGTACTACGATACCCACCCACGCAACCACCCTCTCACAAGCCGCCGGAGGTCCGCAAAACCCAACTCCACCGCCAATACCAATCGCTGCTCCGATCCTCGCCTCTGATCCTGATATTCCAGCACAACAATGTAAAAGCGGTAGAATGGATGAGCATAAGGCGGGAGCTAGCCATTGCCCTCCGCAAGCTAGATGCCGAGAGAGTGAAGAACGGGCAAGAGACGCTTGCAGAGGAGGTTAAGATGCAGGTCATCCAGACCAACATCTTCGCAAGCGCACTGCGAGTCGTCGAGTTCTTCAACCCGGAGACTTCGACAATGGATCATGCGCAACATCCTACGGACCCGCGGACACCGACGAGCGCGCAGATACCGAACACGAGTAATGACGCTGCGGACGAGCGCTTCACACACGGTCTGTCGAGACGGGCATACGAGATTGCGAATAACAGAAAGTTGAAGCTGGAATTGGAGCCTCTGCTCTCGGGGCCCCTTGCTGTTGTGGCTTTCCCTGACGTTGCGCCGCAATACCTCAAGACAGTCCTGTCTATCCTCTCGCCTTCGAAGCCTGGATTCCCCGCTCCAAGCCGAAAAGCGAACCCAGACTACTACGAACCAGCCGTCCAAGCTGGTCTCCAGAAGCTCATGCTTTTGGGTGCGCGAGTAGAGGGCAAGGTCTTCGATGTGGACGGCACGAAGTGGGTTGGTGGCATTGCGGGAGGTATCGACGGTCTCCGCGCTCAGCTTGTGCATATGCTGCAGGGTGTTGGTGGAAGTCTTACCGGTGCTTTGGAGGGCGCGAGCAAGAGTTTGTACTTTACTGTTGAGGGCAGGAGAATGGATATGGAGGAGAAGGAGAAGGGTCCCGAAGAGGAGAAGAAGGGGTGATTGCGAGAGCAGTGTACATTATGTGTATAGCCATTGACGCAGGATATACGAGGCCGACGTATGAGTCTGAAATGTAGCATTTTCATGGTTTACATGCGTGCCTGATCGAGTTGATATGACCGAACCACTCGTTAATCAGAGAATCATGATATTGTGGAATCGTTCTTTCATGTTCGTTTTCGAATGACTTTGTTATGATGGTTACTACGTACTCATGAAGTACCGTAACAAAATACTCCCACGCTGTCCCATATGATAGTGGCCGTTCAAAGGAGGTCATCTCTCCCGAGCGGTACTCTGTCCCAGCGGTGTTACATTAGCATAGTAATCATCGTGGGGCAAATCATAAGTGTCAACTTCAAATCAGTCCTCTTCACCACGCAAAAGTCAAGCCTTGATTTATACTTTACGATTCGATTCGTTTTATATAGGTATCCACATATGCTGCGTGGTATCCTAAGGGTATCATGAGGGATCTGCCTGCCCAAATATGCACACTTCGAAAGATTTGTAGTGGAAAATAAAAAGACTCCCCTTCTTTCTTCGAGACAGAAACTCGCGCGCGCGCAGACACACACAGAAAAAAAGACACAAACTCAAAACGTCCCTGGGCGCCCCAATCTGGTTCCTCGTATATATAGGAGAGGTATAGGAATGTCGTGGTCGTCATATCCCAATTCGCTCGATCGATCGCTCGCTCGCTTCACTCCTGCCGCGCATTATGCCAATAAAGAATAGTTTGGTGTGTGTGTGTGAGAGTGAGGGTTGGTGTGGAGAAGCATGTTCAGTCGAGCTCAATGTCGCCGTTGCTTTCGTGAACCGATTTTTCCGTTAAACGCCGATTGTGGAGAGAGATCCGTGACCCCGATGCTGCTAAGTTGATATGTGCGAAAGGAAAATCTGACGTCGCTATCGTCGTGCGCCGCCTACTTCGACCGAGTGTGATGTTCGTTCAAATTGGAGCTTTCGTCGCTTGTTCGCCATGTTCCCGCCGGGTGTGTCTTCGCCTCCGGTGGAGTCTGCATAGTCGTCTCCGAAGCCCTCGCCGTAGCCTTGGAATGCAGCATCTGTGTAGCCGCGCTTTGAGCTAGATCGCTCTGGCCTCACTGCACCCCGGTTCATATGGTTGGTCGGTGTTGGTGCGGAGGATGTGAAGGATGTGGCTCGCTGTGGTGGTATTTCCTGTGGTTTGGGTTTTACGGCATCGTCTGTGCCGAGATAGGCCTTGTATTTGGCAGCTTCTGCGTTGGGGAGAGGTCCAGGAGCTGTGCCTGCGAAGGCGTCGTCGAGAAGTCTGCTGAGGTTTGAACTCAATGCTGTGCCGTCTGCTGTCAGCCCCTGCTTCTCGGGCTCTCTGTTCTGCACATGTTGCGACTGCCAAATCTCTTCGGGCATTAGCAGCAGATCCCGGAAAACGCCGTCCATCTTAATCGCTTTTGGCTTGCCGGCGATCTGCATCTGCTTGATATGACCCTCGTAGGACTTGCGAAGCTTGTTAATCTTCTCGCCTGTTACCGGGTCATTGCGGGCTACAGTGCTGGCGAGCGGGTTGAGCCTGTAGAGTGAGATGAAATTTTGCGAGGGTTGCGGCCGTGCGATCTCTATCTTCTCGCTGCTGAGTTTGAACAATTGGCTGCCGCAAATGCCTTGGGCAGCTTTGAGTCGGCCGTCTTCGGTGTATGGCGATTCGGCTTGCCGATTGTGATTGGACAGCCTGTGGTGACGCAACCGCGTCATGTCATCGTCCGCGCTCTCTTCCATCGTCGCATCGCCATCGCTGTCGATGTTGGCGCTCGACATGAAGCCGGCAGTGCTCGCGGGGGTCGGGAAGGGGTGCTGGTTGGATGCCGATGTTGCCGACTGGGAAAGCGAGTTGGACATGGGCAGGGAGGATTGCGGTGAGCGGTCCGACACGGCGGAGTTTGTCGTGGGGAAGCCTCCATTGGATTGCGAATTCATCGAGTAGGGTGGCGAGGTGGGCGTTCGAGGGTGAATGAGCGTCTTTGTCGTCTGGCCGCTCGCCTTGGCAGCGACGTCAAAGGGCGGGCTGGCGGGTGAGAATCTTCCTATCGAGTCCAAACGTTGCCGTTTCGCGCTGTGATCCGACATAGAGGCCGTCTTCGGGGGTGGAGCGAGAGGGGAGAGCTCGTCGGCGTGCGTGGAGCGTGCAGCGGTGGGTGAGAGGAGGGCTCGTACTGAAGCGCTTGGCGTCCTCCGCGCGGGTCGACCGCGGCAGCAAGGTGGGCGCGCTACTCGATGGTGCGCATGCGAAGAGAGCGGACGGCGGCGATGGCGACGGTCGGCTGCGGGTGATGGGGCGGGGCGTGGGCGTGGCGGGATGCGTAGGAGGGTTGTGGGCGGCTGAGGGTGCGAAGATGTGAAGGAGATGATGGGGTTGACCGGCGGTTTGGGCTCAGCGCTGTCTCGACTGCTCACGTGACGTGCCGGGGCCCATGGTCCGCCATCTAAAACCGCCTTTCGTGTTAGGGCGTGTCAACCATTCATCGCCGCTGCAACAACAAGACAACCAGACAAAGCATCGCCATACCCTGTGCATCTTTAATGTATGGATGACAACAGGCCGCGCGCCGGTGCCTCTGCTGCGGCCGCCGCTCCAGGTGCAGCGCCGACTGCGCGCTCCGAGGCATCGAATCCACCCGCGCCGAGCAATGCGCCCAAGATCCAGCAGCCGAAACCCCAAGCTCTGCCATCGCGATCCGGCCCCAGCGCCATCCTGGTCTCGCCGCGACAGAAAGGCAACCCTATTCTCAACAGCGTGCGCTCCGTCGCATGGGAGTACTCTGACATTCCCGCCGACTATGTCGTCGGTGCCACAACATGTGCGCTCTTCCTGTCGCTCAAGTACCACCGTCTGCATCCGGAGTATATCTACAACCGCATCCGAGACTTGAAGGGCCAGTACAGCCTGCGCATCCTCTTTACCATGGTCGATATTGAAAACCATGAAGATCCATTGAGAGAGCTATCCAAGACGTCACTAGTCAACAACGTCACAGTCATGCTATGTTGGAGCGCGCCGGAAGCCGGCCGCTATCTGGAACTTTTCAAGACATTCGAGAACGCTGCACCGACCAGCATTCGCGCTCAGCAAGCAGGCACTTATTCAGAGAAGATGGTCGAATTCATCACCGTACCACGCAGCATCAACAAGACAGATGCAGTGGGCTTGGTCTCTAATTTCGGTAGCATCCGCACTGCAATCAACGCTGGGCCTGAGGAGATTGGCCTGATAGCAGGTTGGGGTGACAAGAAGGTTCAACGATGGTGCAATGCCGTCAGGGAGCCCTTCAGGGTCAAGAAGGCAGCGCGTCGAACCGTCGGTCAAGGCAGCGGTGCAGCGATCATGTCACGCGACATCTCCATGGCAGAAGGCGAAAGCCAGTTGCCGCCGACAGCGGATGCTGATGACACAGCACATCGCAGGGTGGATGACGCCGGACCTCTCGCACTTGAGCTGGAGAAATCCGCTCCTTTTGCTACTTCAGGGTCGGATGCAGACAATCGACCCGATCATCGCATCGCTGAAGATCTTAATCAGGACGATGAAGAAGCAATGCGTGAGGCAGAACTGGGTCCAGTCCCACGAGACAGTAAGACTCAACCCTCTGCTCCGCCAGTGAAGCGGAAGCAGGTGGAAGAGGAAAACATGAGCGAAGGCGTCATGGCAGCACTCAGCAAGTTGAGGAAACAATGAACAATGTTCTGCGAGAGTACGAAAATGCAACATGTGACTTTGCTTAAGTGATGAGAAACAATCAATTTCAAACGTTCACTCCTCAGAGTCCGCTGTAATCAATACAGCGTCGTTTGCAAGGCTATCGCGAACAAATTCCATGTGCAGCATGCCGTCATGCGCTCTCTCCTCATTGGTGACCCCACTATGGTTCTCGCCCTGCAGCTGCAGCCTAGCCTGCCCACATGCACCTACTTCACTTGGTAGCAAACACATTCAGCCTTACTCCTTCGGCCCAACCACCATTCCTTTACATACATCGATAGATCTGCTTCTCATTGTGAGCACGTCAAGCTCAGCCATACACAACAGGACTGTTTTGGCAGACCGATAATACCAGTCACTATCGCCCAAGATGGGCAATTTCACGCAGTTGCCAGCCGAACTCCAGATCCAGATCTTCGACTACCTCCACGCTGCCGACGTCAAATCCGCGAGAGCTGTGAGTAGAACGTTCCGAAATAATGCTACGCCTGCGCTCTTCCGCAGTATCGTTGCTTGTGCAAGATACCAAGCGCTGGGCGCCTTCCAAAACGTAAGTCCAAGACGAGCCCTAGAAGTACCCGCACTATCTTTCGTAATGAGGAAGTCAGTGTTAAGCCCAATGTACACCTCAAGGCCATGGTTTGGTATCAAGTAGGTACAGCATGGACACATTAGCTAATGACACGAACAGGTGTCACTACACTCGATATACTCAGGCTATGTAAGAGAGATCATCTTCGATGGAACACTATACGATGGGCATCTCGCGAAAGACCATCGCAACTACTCTCGAGCCGAAGAAGCTAGCGGCAAATTCCAATCAGGATCCTTCTACGCAATGCGAACCAGGTGGAAAAGATACCAAGAGCTTCACAAGGAGCAAGAGAGCATGAAGGAGGACGGCGTCTTGTTACAATCATGCGCACGAGGCCTTGAGAATATGCAGAACATCTCCTCCATCGTTTACTCGCCATATCAACACACCATCCCTATGGAGGTCAAGACACTGCGCGATCTGCTACCAAGGGGCGCTATTCCTGGCACGCTCTCCGACAACCGCACCACTGGCTCAGACCATCCTTTCCGCCAACTCATTGGTGCCGTATTTTTGTCAGATTACACTGGAATCCGACAGCTCACGATCGAAGCACCCCGCGAAGACCACCCGCGTACTGAGCTCTCTTTGGATATGTTTAGTTTCCCAGACACCAATGATCTGAACGCCGGAAAACACCTCTTCCGAAACTTGGTCAAACTAGACATGAGTTTGTCTATCCTTAACATACAGAGTCAGACAACGCATCCGATGACCGAGATTGATCCCCCTGATCGACAGCTTGAGAACCTGGCCAAAGTCCTCGAGGCTGCCCAGGAGCTGCGACACCTCTCCTTTGGCATATTGAACTGGTCTTATCTCAACAGGCTAATGTGGGATGGGAGCAACATTCCAGAGGGACGCTCCATCATCGACTTTATTGGTCTTGGAGCAACATGGCCGAAGCTCCGCTCACTGAAGCTCGAAGGCTTATACGCTAGGGAGCGCGATCTATGTGAATTAATCAACCGACACAAGGACACCCTTAGAGCCATCACCTTCGCCAGATGCACTCTGTGCGCAGGTCTATGGCTTGAAGTGGTGAACGAGGTCGTTTTCAATGCGTCCATGATCGCTACATTCGAACTGGACCATGTTAATGAGCAAACCGCCAGGAGCCTGAACACCATCCACAGCTTCAACCCGGATTTAGGATACGAAGGCCGTCTAGTTGTGACGAAAGATGGAGAGCGTGAATTTGTACGCAGCAGCCCAGTCCTTGAATCCAATCTGTTTTGCTGATAACGATAATATATAGGTCAACACCAGACCGGACAAGCCCTCGGTTCACGACGCCCGCAACAACGCAACAAACCCAGCATGATCAACTAGTCCATTACCTCGCTACTCATCTTGAAGCACACCAATGACTTGGTATTGGCGATTGCTCAGACATCCCTTCATCGTTGGTAGCTTGAATCAGGTATTAGCTAATAGTCATACATTGTTATGCTAGCCACATACACCCGTATCCGCAATCTTTTGCTCATTCAATGTGATCTAGGCCGCAAATTTTGAATCTGGTCCTCGCGACGATACGAGAGTCTAGTACCAGAGAGCCGTTCCTCGGCCGCCCTATACGCAGGACTGCCAACCTGTGCTCTAGATGCCATCACGACCTGTTTCCAACTACGTACCCATTCAGGATCTTTGTCTGAGCCTGTCTGCGACACTTCATCATCGTCTTCGTCATCCTGCCCTCTTTTGCACTCTTCTAGGACATCGCCTTCTTGCTCCTCGATCTTCCCCTGCGCCTCCAGACAACTAGAACATGAATCTTCCGAGTCTTGCTCTACCGCTCTCTCCTTCCCTTTCCAGACCTTCTCCTTTACTGTTTCAGCAGAATCTGTCTCAGAGTGTGTCTCCGTTCCGTTGATGCCCTTCCGCACATCCGCTTCCTCGTTTGTCTCCATCTCTTCCCTATTTCCTACTTTCGCCTTCCCCTTCCCACTTCCCACATCCACCTTCCCCTCCTCACAACCCTCCTCCCCCTCCTCAACTCCCCCTCTCCCACCCTCCTTCCTCTCCCCCTCCGCATGCCCCTCCCCCAACCCAGCAATCCACGCCGCAGCCCTCACCCTCCTCAACTTCCTCAACCGCCTCCTCTCCGCATAATCAATAATTTCGCCTCCATCCCAGCTATAATCTATCCTGCCAATCTCAGCCTGGCTGTCTGCTACCCGTCGCTCTTGCCATTCCACCCACCCGTTGCTTCCTGGTGCGCAGTAACTGCGCACGTCGTCGTCGCGGTGGTGGATGCGTGCGGCGACTGGTTGCCAGGATGTGGGGTGTTGGCGGTGGGGGAGTTGGGATATTGGGACTGGTGGGCGTAAGGGGGTTGTGGTGGTCGTGGTGGTTGGGTTCGGGGCCTGAGTTGGTGGACGTGGATGGACTGGTGGTGGAGGGGCGGGGGCAGAGGTAGTCTGCTCAGCTTGAGGTTGGGCTGTGGGTTGGTTCGAGGTATTTGGGTTTGGAGATGCTGTATGTGGTGGTGGATTGCTGGTGGAGGGGTTTGGTGGTGCAGCGAGGGGGTGGGGGGAAGATGGTATAGATGCTAGACTTTGAGAGAGGATGGATGTGTTGGCTCGTTGGAGGTAAGGTCTAGCTGCGTCTGCGGCTTCCCTTGGGCTCGACATTTTGGTTTATGTGAAGGGTTGAAAGCTTAATGTCGCGATTTTAGGGAAGAGAAGAGAGACTTCCTGGGGAGCCATAGTGAATTCTGTGCAAAAGTGCATGTCAAGTCGGACCATGGTAGCAGAAAAACCTCCCAGGGGAATGTGAGACAGTTCATTCATAAGGCAACCCTGGTGTTGGTGGGCTGAAAGATTTAGCATTAAACCTTGGTACGCTATCGCAGTACCATGTGCTATGTGACTCCACCAGCATGAGGACCAACCACATAATAAACGACAGTCATTACCCATTAACTCAAGCCCTCTCAACCCTCTCAGTAGCACCCTTGGCGTCATTGTCCACAACAACACTGTGGTGCCTTGCCGGGTCCTTCTCCTCAATGGCCGCGCCTTCAACAACATGGTTCTGACCACCAAAGATGGCATCCATCTCCTCAAGACTAACCTTCTTAGTCTCGGGAACGAAGAACCAGACAAATGCGGCTAGCAGCATGTTGATGGCGGCGAACATGTAGAAAGCGTAGAAGCCCTCGTTCTTGAGGAAGACGGGGAAGAACTGCTGGACGATGGAGTTTACGACGTTTTGGGTTTGCGAGCACATGCCCACGGCTTGCGCGCGGATATTCATGGAGAAGATCTCGGCGGTGAAGATCCATACTGTTGCGCCCCAGGAGGGTTTGTCTGTGGTGGTTGTTAGTACGTGTTCATGTTTGTGGAGATGGTACTGAGAGGTTGTGACTTACAGAAGAGAGCGAAGAGGAACATGAGGAACACGATCGCGATACCAACTGGTTCCGACTTTGCTCCGCTGGGCAGGGTAGGTGTCTGTGTCTCCACAGTAGCAGCGATAAGCATGCAAATGCCCATACCGATACCACCGACTATGAACAGGAACTTGCGTCCAAAGCGGTCGACAGTCCAGGTAGCGTTGAGCGTGAAGATAATGCTGAACGTGGCGTTCAGAGCGTTGATGAGAGAGATGGTGTCGGCGCTCGTAAAGACCTTCTTGTAGATGATGGAGCTGTAAGAGTTGAGTGTACCCTGTCCAGTGATCTGCTGACCACCGTTGACAATCATGGCAATGTACATGCGCTTCCTGACAGACTTGTCCTTCCACAGAGCAGAGAAGCCGGAGGAGATTGCTTCGGCTTCGAATTCGATAGCCTCGCGGATGGTGGTGATCTCATCCTCGACATCCTGTTCGGTGGCACGGACGCGGCGGAGCGAGCGGCGAGCCTTTTCGTAGTTGCGGTTCTTCTGGACGTACCAACGGGGTGACTCCGGGATGAAGAAAACTTGGGAGAGGATGAGAATGGGCACCATCATCTGGAAGATAACGACCATCTTCCAGTCCCACTCGCCAAGTTTCTCAGGGTTCTTGGATGTGCCGAAAGAGATCCAGTATGCGATGAAGGAGCCAACGGAATAGAACATCTGCCAGAAGGACATGATCTTTCCACGGATCTCAGGAGGCGAAAGTTCTCCAATGTAGATAGAGCCGGCTGTCAATGCGAGACCTTGTCCGATACCGATGAGGACACGACCAGCAATGAAGACACCGATCTGTCCGCGGGGGGCAAATGTTTGCATGATGGTCGCGATGATGACGCATACAGATCCAGCAGCCATACCAACTCGACGGCCAGCGAAATCAGCGAGGGGTCCAGCCTATACACAGCAAAGTTAGTACACCTTTTGCGACTGATGATATACAGACGTGACGTACCATGAAGAAACCAGCTACGACAGCACCGACTGTGTATGATGTGTTGATGGCGCCGATGATGTTAGGTCCGGGGTTGTTGTAGTAGGCAATCCAATGCTTCGAGTTTTGCAATGCGTTGAAGACGGACGCATCGTAACCGTAGAGCACCATGCATGATGCTGCAACGAGCGAGATGTACCAGTTGTACACCCTAGTTTTGTCGACCATCTTGACGGTAGTCACTCAGGATTTCTCCCAAAACAAAAGTAACAATAGCGCTCGACTTGGTAGCGATTGACAAAGGCGTCCAGCTCGAATTCCGCAACGGATACAGCGAGAGATTCGTAGAGCTCTGGAGTGGAGAGCAATCAGCGGAGACTGCGATGGGCATATATACATGCCACATGAGAAGCCACACCCTGTGGATTACTATCTTGCCCCATGTCAACCCCATGGGCTCGGGGAAGCGCCAGTTCCAGCACCCAGGATCCGATGCCTACGCCGCTACCAGACGCCTCTATCCAGAATATCACCACGAATCAACATGCCCAGACCGCCTCCAAAGCTTGCTCTAGTGCCAAATGCATCCACGCCTAGCACTCCGTTCTCCGTAGTCCCTGAATCTGGGGAATCTGGGGCTTGGGACGGGAGTGTCAATGGAAGGATTTTGTCCATCTGATGGACGGAGAGGCGTCGTGGAGATTTTCCACGAATGGGCGGAATAGAGCTAAGTGTTGAGGCGCCGTTGTTTTGAGGAGAAGCGAGACCGACTCATGCCGAGATGGTGTTTAGTGCGCCATCTAGCCCGTGAGTAGCTAGGTTTGCCGGCGACAATGTCGATAATGGGTAGAATTTCCTCGTGGACGCAAGCATGCCAAGTCAGAGACAAGGAAGACGCAGCGAAGCAAAGCTTTTGGCTGCCGCCTGGGCTCTCTTATTTTGTGATTAATTGATGCTTAAAACTGCGAGAGCGGTTCTTGAGAAGCGCATGTGTGGCGCCGGTCTCACAGTCGGGTCGTAGAGAGAGCGTCTGGTCATTTTGGACGACTTGATGTTGTGAACGGAGAGCAGGTATCACATGAATCATGCTAGAGAACATCGCTTGATAGCCAGCTGTGGAGTTCGGGTGGGTCGGCACATTGGTTGCGGGCGGTGACCATCACATCGCATCCTCCAGAGATGGGCACGCGGGGAGCCAACCTTGGAACGATCGAACGAGCCTAAGCCAATGTGCCCCTAAGATGGTCTCGGGCAACACCACGCGACGCGCATGTATTTTCGGTGATGAACTGTTACAGGTGCATATGACATGCCGCGGTATCCCGGGTCGCTAGATGAGCCTCATCAGCGCTGAGATGAGCTCCAGCGTCCCCAGCTCTGGGACCAGCACGTGATTGATCACGTGTGAATCATCCGCCACAGCTCTGTGGCTGTGCGCATCCCACTTTTTCGGGCGTCGAGACCCTTTCCCACCGCCCGCGACCGCCTAACGTTTTCGACGCCCGACCAAATCTCTCTACCCTCCCACCTACACACCGAAGACCGGACTACCAAGCCAACCGATTTTTCCAAGATGCCTTCAGGACAAGGAGGTGAGCGCCATAACCTTTGCGCAAACTGAAGCGGGGTCAAGGCTGACAGAATACCATAGCCGGTACAAACCCCATCCACAACAAGCAGAAGAAGAAGAAGGCCGTCGAGCTCGACGAGGATGACCTCGCCTACAAGCAAAAGCTTGCTGCCGGTGCGTAACGCCCTAGTTCCCACTCTCCGACGCCTATACCGCGACCAGCCCCGATGCGCCACCACAAGGCTCCGAAGAACAAAGACAGACGTGCTGACAATACACAGAGAAGAAGCAGCGTGAGGACCTAGCCAAGACGGTCGGCAAGGGCAAGGGACCG